CTGGAAGGGGCTGCTGAGGCTGAGGCTTTGCTGGAAGGGGCTGCTGAGGTGAAGGCTTTGCTGTGCCTGGTTGTTGAGCTGGTGTCTTTCCAGGTCCAGATTGCTGAGCTGGAGTCTTTGCTGGCCCAGGTACCTTAACCAGAGGCTGCAGGACAGGCTGTTGAGCTGGGGGTTTTGCTGTCCCTGGCTGCTGGGCAGGGGACTTTACTGGCCCCGGTGGAATCTTTCCAACACCAGGAGTCTGAGCGAGAGACTTTGGCCCAGGCTGCTGAGACAAAGTCTTTTCGACTCCAACCTGCTGCGCTGGAGGCTTGGATGTCACTGGAGGTTGGGCTGGGGGTTTCATTGTCCCTGCTGGTGGAGCTGGGGACTTTGTTGACCCTGGCTGCTGGACTGAGGCCTTTGCAGGTCCAGGCTGTTGGGCTACAGATTTCCCAGGACTTGCTTGCTGAGCTGGTGTTTTGGCTGGACTCTGCTGGGAAGGCTTTCCTAGGTCTGAAGGTTTAGTCTGAGGCCTGGTTGTATCTCTTTGAATAGGCAGCTTTGCTTGGTCCATCGGTGGAAGCTGGGAAGATGCCTGAGAAGGTTTTCCTGTGCTGGGGAGCTGTGGTTTTATTTTTTCTGTTTGTTGAGAAGATGCTGACTTGAGAGCGTTTTCCTGTTGTATCACTTCCTTCGCTGGCCCTTGTTTAGGAACTGACTTGGGTGACGGCTGCTGTAAGGGAGGTTTTGTGATTCCTTCTGATTTTCCTTGATCCTTCTGAGCAACTTTTTGTTTCTGTGTAGTTTCCTCCTGGGATGCCTCTGAGTCTGATATCAAATCAAAAGGGTTGAATTTATTTACCACAGAGGAGACAGCACTTAAAGGGTTAACATCTGAGAGGAAACCAGGCATCATACTAGACTTGTACTCTTCCTTAAAATCACTTCTGGACTTTGATTCTTTCAAGCTAATAGTAGATGGGCTCCTTCCAGGCAATTTCTGCTCAGCCCTAAACGTGTCTGTAGTTCTGCTTTTACTGAGTCCAGGCTGAGTGGGACGCCCAGGGTCCGGTGGCTTTCCTGGTTGTTTGGGAGGCTGACTACTCTCCAACTCTTGTTTCCTGGAAAGTGAAAATAGTGGAAGTTACTTCAAGTCAAATCAATATTTAAAATTATTGTTTTCTTGTAGCTCAAACGTATGCAGATGCAATTGTGTTGCAGCCTATATTGACCATAAAGCATTGCTTCTGTGTTATTTTTCAATGGATAGAAATTTTCAACAAGGTAGTGTAGCAAAAGCAGCTTGTTGGTGATGAAAAATTATGTGGTCAAACAATATAAACTTACATAAATATACTTAAAAGAATATAACATATAGGTTTAAAAAGTAAAACTGCAGTAAGTCAATGTAATGTCAATTTGTAATACATATGTAACGGTCTTTATTTCCCTTTTGGTCAAAAATTATGGTCAAGGAAAAACAAAGAGAATTAAGAAGTAAACGTGATTATTTTAAAATATAACAACTTGCTAGTTTTCTACTTAATTTTGATAATTCATATTCATTATATAAGGCACACAGTGACATTTAGGTGAGTTTGTGGTAATGGAGCTAAATGATGCCTTTTAACATTCCAAGAAATCTAATGCTCTACTCACTTTTGCTCTGTTCTATCTAGAATGGTAACATTCTTCAAACATTACCCTCATTAAACTTTATAAAAATTATATGTGAAAGACCAATATTACTTTATTTTCTCTAATGGTTAATTATTAATGTGAAATTTGTATGCACATCACCGCTAAGTCTAAAAGACATAGCCTGATAGCCAAGCAGCATAAAACTAGCTAGAATCTCATTTTTGAAAAGTGCTACTACGTTCCTTGGTGGAAGAAAATATGTATCAGCTTCAAGTGTTTGTTACATTATTTATCTTATCTGCTGTCACTGGCATTGCTAGAGAGGTGTGACAAGTAGTTTTACCAGACAATTATTTCTTTTTAAAAATATTCTGCAAATATGATGAACTTTAATTGATTTGAGCTGAACAATTAAAATAGATCTTTTATTCATATACATAATATATATATTAACCAACAGTCATATTAGGTATATTAAATTTTGAATAAGTAATTTTTGCCAACAACAAAAGGACAACTAATTGCATTCCACACTGTGACTGTGGAGAAAACCAGAAATTAGTGTGGTTTTATTTGTGTCAATTTTACATTTGGAAATATATATTTCTCTTTGAAAGACACAAGGAAAATGAAATTATAATTTGGAAGCACCTGAAATATAAGATGGTCACAATAGAGTTCTACATCTTTCAAAATTGGCTAGTTAAGGCCACATCCTCATATTTTTAACTTGGTGCTATTTAGTAATTTTCTTCAGAACTTCCCTAGTGCTTACAGCATAAATCAGGATCTAAGAGAATGTTAAAGGAAATGGAAAATTATTACTTGCAGCAAAGTCCCAGAAAGAAAATTATTGTCACTGGCATACATGCATAAAATGATGTAAATATGGCAAAGTGTACAGTGTAAACTGTACACTGGTGTAGTATCTGCCTGGCATGTGCAAGGTGCTACAATTGAGAGCAGCGCTATATAGAATTAACGCTAACTATAATAGAATTGTTTAGGTAGGCTCCTCCTGGAAATGTTTCCAAAGCTTTCATTTTAAAAGAGATCCAAATGTATTTCCTGAGTTATTTTCCAAAGCTCTGTGATATATTTTCTAAATCATTGCTACTTATTTACATTTGAAAATAATATAAGAAGGTCTTCTCAGGACACCCTGTTTGTCCCCCAACACTACCCATTTCAGAAGGCAAAAGAGCCACTGTACATAACTGAAAATAGCTTATTTCCAAGGATGAACATTGTATAGACTTTGACATTATTCTGGAAAAGTTTCTGCATTCAATTAATGTAACACAAAACTCCCTTGAAAGGACTCCATTATAGTTTGTGTTTATCTCATAAGTAGTTATTGGGGAATTTCACTAAAATAAGCTGCATGTCCCACACACTGTTACACATTGTAATTGCATAAACAATCCACAAATATTAAGTTGTGCTGCCAGAAAAGATCTATATAGCTACAAAGACTGTCCCCAAATTTTAACTTTGTTTTAATTGCTATCAGTATGTAATTCAGGTAAAAAAGAAAAACAGAAAATCATGAAGATAGCATCTTAACACCAAAAAAAGGTAAAGTGGTCTGAGTAAATGTGACCTCCTGAATTGTTTGCTATAACAATCATTCTGCTAAGAGATGAACTAAAATGCAATCTGCTTCTATACTGAACTGTGTGCTGGAAGAGCACATTGCTAGAATCAAACCTGGCAACTAGGAGAAAAGCATTAATGTTTGATGAATCAATGAATAAATGAATGTGAAAACCGATGAATGAACATAAAGGTTTGTGCTTCACTCTAGATTCAAGTTTCTTGAGTTCTTTTCACTTCAAAGTCTTCTAAAGGTCTGCTAAGATTTTAAATGGGCACTTCCCATATTGGAACCTGGACTTGATCTATTGTTCTATATTAAAACAGAGAAACAGGAAGTGGAGCAGATGGAAACTCAGTAGGGGAGGAGCACTCAAGGAAACCATCAAATCACAACTCGTATCTTCTATCAGAAAAGTTGTGCGGTAAGCCATCTCATATCACCTCCTTGAATAAAATGAAGTAGGAATAAATTTGTCTTCCACTAGGTCTACAATGAATCAACATCAAGAAGAATTTTGCTTGTAGCCTTACTCTGAGTCTAGCTCAATTTATTTTTGTGTAATTGCACATCCTTTTTGATTTTACTATTGCCATTCCCAGACTAGAACTTTTCTTTTCTAAGTTAGTAGAGAAACTGTTTCAGATAAAACGGTATTTCAGGCATATGCAAATATAAAACTGGAAATAGCTAGGAATGATGAAATGTTTTTAAATGTAACCCAACAGTCAGTGGCACTTAATTTGACAGTGCTGAGTCACATAAAATATTCCATATCAGAGATAAAAATCCCAAGAAATACTTATTCCCATTTATACTACAGAGGATATGGAATTTCAAATGCCAAGAGGATAATTCAAATTCCTAAAACTAAGTAAGGAGGTTGGGTGCTTTTGGGAGGACTCTCACTTATCCATATGTAAAGGAATATAAATTTGTATAATTAGTGTTTCTGACAACGAATAATGGAGAACACAGCTTGTCTGTGGCCACAATTGAGACTTTTCTATTGCTGGCATTGAGCCCACCATGCTTTGCATGTGTCATACTCCTTAATATGAAAAATCCAGCAAAAACATCCCTGTGAACTTCTGAGTCATCCTCAGAATGATTTCCTGAGACAGGTAAGGCAGG